TCCCATCCCACGACCCCCCAGGGCTGCGGGGCTGGGCCCCGCGCTCGTCTCGCCCACATCAAGCGACTGCTGGGTGGCACCGGGGTGGCAGCATGGGGGGCACTCGGCCCCCAGGCCAAACGTGGGGCCCCCAACACCTGGATAAGGAGCGGGGCAAAGCTACTCCTCGCAACGAGGCTGGAGGCCGGCAGGTTTCTCCAGCTGAGCCGTGAGACCTCGACCCGCCCTGAGCTCTGCCTCACAGCCGCAGAGCCCTACGCAGAGGGGCCGGCTCTGGCATCCTGCGCCCAAGGCGCAGAGGAGCCCGGCCCGCGAGCTGCGTTCTCCAGGAATGTTGCCCAGGCCCTGGCCTGCACACGCACACCTTCTGACCGGGCTCTGGCTAATTTCAGCTAGCTCCAGGAGAAGAACTTTGTATTTAAATGCTCCTAAAAAGGAGCTAAGCTAAGCTGCCTCCATTAATCCAAGCAAGCCTGTCTAAAACAGTTTCCCGTGGTACGTGCTGGCTGATGTGGACCAGCCTGACTGTATGGCCAAAAGTCCTCCCTGGGATTTTATTCCTCCACGAGAAGATGCTCCAGAGGTGGCACAAGCCACCAGACCAGGGCTGCTCTCCGTTACGCACTGGGGCATCATGCAGGCTTTGCTGGGTGCAGGTCTCTGAGAGCTCCCGCGTGCTGCCTGGCTGCTCCTACCGCTGTCCCCACGCTCCTGGGGCACAGTCTCGCCGTACACTATTAGAAAGGAGCTGAAGGAAGATGGTTCCTCCTTGGAGAAGGGAAAGCTCACGGTGACCCCTAGCAGGTTAAGTGCTTCATTGCTGTCTTCCCTTCAGTCTTCACTAAACAGATTAACTGTAAGCAATTGTAACATCAGTGACAGTGGGGGAAGAACATGGGTTGCAATAGGGGAGGACAGATCCAGCACAGCTCTGGTGAGATAGGGCTTTTCCAACAGCTGGTGAATGATAAATTCATCCAAGAGTGCAGTGGAAGTTGTCTGCCTCTGGCTCACAGCTGGCAAGGGCCTTTGAGCACGCACAGAGATGGGGTGAGACCCCGAAAGGCTGAGGGAAGACAGACAGCACCTCTCCTCTGAAAGGGGAGGGAGACACGGGGAAATACAGATCTTACTTTCCTGGGGAAATACAAATGTATTACCTGTGGGCGTGTAGAAGAGAAGGGAGAAATAACATCCGGCGTCATTCTCAAAGTTTAGTTGTGTCCATAGAGTCTAATTCCCTCCTTTGCCAGGATAACAAGTTATTGGCAGACTAGCTCTTAACTGCTGATGATCACTTTGCAGGGATGAACTGGGAGAAGCTGTAGAGGGGTCTGTCCCTGGAGGGATGATATTCAACATTTTCATGAGTGGTGGAGAGGACAGAGCAGGGACCTGGCCTGCCTATTGAATTTGGACAGAAAGCTGGGAGGTGCACACAAGCATCTCAGAAGGCAGGCTTGGAGTTAGAAGCGCTCTGTATGGATTAGAGAAAAGGTCTGAAATAAGGTGCAGCTGAGGAGGGTGTAAGTAAGTGCAAAGCGCAACACTCAGGCTGCAGTGAGCAAACGCATGTTCCAGGATGGGGCACAAAGGGCTGGAAGAACAGGCCCGGGGGGAAGGCAGATCTCCCGCGCCACACAAGGAATAATATCACCGGACTGAGAGAAAGGCAAATGTCCCATTAAAATGTAAAAATAGGTGTGCTGCATGTACAAGGGATGAAGTAATGTGGGGCTGCGGCTGGGGTGAGCGGCGCCTCGCTGGAGCGCTGTGGCCATATTTGGGCACTCTCCTGGGGAGGGAGCTGCAGGAGCCGTCCCGCCTGCGAAAAGTGAGCTCCGGGCAGAGACGGAGCAAGGCGGGATCGTGCAGCCAGGGGAAAAGTTTCAGGTGAAACACGATAAGAGATTTCAAATATGCAAAGGGCTGGTAGGAAGGAGAAAGCGGTGCTCGGTTTGCTGCGCAGGGCACGGAGTCAAATCCAGCAAGTGAGATTTAGGTTAAACTTTAGGAAAACTGTTGTATATGTAGCAGTGAAGCACTGGACCGGACTGAGTAGAGCGGCTGCAGAACTGCCTCTGCTGAAACTAGGGCCACCCCTCGGCGGACCCTAGGGCCACCGGAGGATGGTCTAGCCAGAGCCACGAGACTTGGCCTCAGGGGCCTTGCAAGCTGCCCTCCTGCCCGTTTTCTGTGATCCCTTGGTGCCAGTCAACAGCTCAGCTGTAATTTTTTCCTGCCCAGCACACAGCTGGTCTTATTGCTTATTCTACATGCTGATAAGCTCAGCAATTTAACATTGCCCTTCCGTAAGGAAGGTTAGTCAAATGTCTCTTGACATAACCTAAAATTCCCTGGTGGGTATCGGCACAGCTGTGAGCCTGCTTTGCTGAAACACCTCAAATGAGGAGGTTTGCATCATGCTTTGCTGCCCCTCTGCAATTATCTTTGTCAGCCAGTTCTCCTTCAAACACTTACCAGAAGAGGACATGCCCCAAACCCCTCCCCTAATCTGATTCTGCCTCAGGATCTTTGCGCTGGGACAAGATTAGGTAAAATTTATCTGATTCCATTGCCTAACATTAGGCATCTGCATAGACTGACTTTGGAAAATGCTGAGATACAGCTTCCCAGGACTATGGGAGCTGGGCTGCATCACTGATTTTTGTCTCCGTTATTAAAGTGCCTGGATTTAGGTGCAAAGTTTCAAGCACCTGCCTCTGTAAATTGTGTGCCTGGGTAAGTGCAGTGCTATTTACTCAGCAAGTAACTCCCAAAACAGGTTGATTTCCCGGGTGGGATGAACTAGAAGGATGAGGGAATCACTCAGCATTAAAACTAGTCATACGATTAACTCTTTAGCATACTGTAATCCAGAACCCTGGTCTCTTCCCCTTGACATTTTTCTCTTATCAATTCTGTTTTTTGCTAGTTATTAGATACGATATTGGAATTTACACCTAGAGCTACATCAAAGGATTTGTGGCTATCTCCAGGAAACGCCTGCAGAAGGGGCAGGTTTCCCACACCTTGGCTTGATACTCTCCCGTTACAGATACGGGGCCACGGAGGCCCCCAGGTCACTGTGCCCAGACAGAGTTCTGCAGTGCTGGACTCAGGACCTGCTTCTGCTCCTCGTCTGACATGGGCCTTATCACAGAGACGCACTCAGAGCTCCTTGCTGGAAAGGCGCCATCCAGATTTTTCAGTGGGTGCTATTTTGGGTTTATTGACACTGAGTTTCCTGGGCTGTTTTATCACCCAGTCCTTCAGGCTGGGATTCAGCTATGCTAATTTAGACATCCTGAGGAAGTCTGACTAAGTCTGCCTGGGATTCCCCCAGCCTAGCGCCCTGGCATGGGGAGCCAGGCGTGGGGAAACACCACCTGGAAACCCTTCTCCAAGCCTTGGCCCATGCTCTGGGCTCCCATAGGAGGGTTGGAGCTATGTGATGTCCCTGTAGTCCCCACAGCCGTGCGAAGTCTGTGCAGCTCCCTGGCCCAGAGTTGCCTCTCTGCACAGCCCAGCACCCCCCTCTCTGAGATGCCCAGAAGC